CCTGGGCTGTGTAAAAGACAGGGCTTAGGACTGCAAGCCCAGGCCTCAGGACCATAACAGGCTCCGCCCCCTCAGCTTGTCTCTTGTCCCCTCCACACTTGCCAGGTTATGGCGTGACACTAACTTCTATGACAGATAAACCCCCAAATCACAGAGGCTTAAACAATGAAAGTATATTTCTCATTGATGAAGAGTCCAGTTGAAGAGTCGCATCATTGAAAGACCTGGGCCCTTCCGTCTTATGGTTCCCACATGCCCCGGGACCTCAGAGTCATTCTTTCTGCCCTGCAGACAGATCCTGCAAGAGGTTTTACCGAGCCAGGTCTGAAAAAGGTGAAGGCACCAGCAGAACATTTCCTCTACATCTAGTCAACCTGAGCTCCGTGACGGCAGGAACTCTGTCTTGTTCACCACTCTACCTACTCACTGCAATGTAGTCCGTGGCCACACCTATCTACAGTGCCTGGGAATGCCATCTAGCTGTGGCCTGGAGGTGTATGATGAACACGCAGTCTCTGCCTCAACAGGCCAGGGCCCTGACCTTTTTCTTTCTTCTGCTTCATAAATGTGTGTGTGTCTCAAGTTCTGCCTTGGCTTTCTTCTCTCTGTATCTCCTCTCTCTCTCTCTCCCCTGCCTTTTCACACCTAGGAGATGAGGTGCCTCTGCATGGGTGTAATCTATGGGGACAACCCTGATGTCAACATTTCTATATAGACAATTTACAAAGCTATGTCTTTTTCAAAATAACTCCTATATAGCGGTTTCTTGTCCTGCACGATATAACCTGAGCTCTAGTCCTGCCATTCACTCATTTACCCAACAAATATTTATGGAGCTCTCTCTTGGTCCCGGTTCCTTAAGGGGAAACTTTTTTTAAATGCCTGAGTCAGAGCTTACGTTTAACATTTTATTGGGAAGTTCAATTCAAAGGAAGCAAGAGAGGGAAAAGGGGAAGTGAGGAAGAAACAGAAGGGCAATAAGCACAAGGAGGTGAGTTTTAAGCTGAAGACAGATTTGCAGCAAACACAGCTATTGCTCAGTCCACGGGACATCTCCAGAATGGCTGCAGCTCAGAATGATCTCATGTGGGAGGTCGGGGTTGGGGCTGAGTTTGGACTCCTAGCTACTGGGGGGTTTTTTCTTCTGTCTCCGTTGGTCAGATCCTTGCCTGTGGGCATGTAGTCCCTGCACTTCTGATTCATATTCCTGGCCTCTCCAGGAAGCTGCTGGGAAGCCAGGTCCTCCATCCAGCCTGGGTGCGGGCCCAGCTCCAG